ATGAACATGTGATTTATGTCATTCATATGTGACATATGTGTATGATGAACATGTGACATTTTGTATGACGTTCATATATAATGAACATGTGATTTATGTCATTCATATGTGACATATGTGTATGATGAACTTGTGACATTTCGTATGACGTTCATATATGATGAACATGTGATTTATGTCATTCATATGTGACATATGTGTATAATGAAAACGTGACATTTCGTATGACGTTCATGTATGATGAACATGTGATTTATGTCATTCATATGTGACATATGTGCATGATGAACATGTGACATTTTGTATAACGTTCATATGTAATGAACATGTGATTTATTTCATTCATATGTGACATATGTGTATGATGAACATGTGACATTTTGTATAACGTTCATATGTGATGAACATATGATTTATGTCATTCATATGTGACATATGTGTATAATGAAGATGTGACATTTCGTATGTTATTCATATATGATGAACATGTAAAAAATATGTTACTCATATGTGACTTATATGTGTATGAACGTGTGACATGTATGTCGTACACGTATGACATGTATGACAGAGGAATGTTACATACTAAATCATTTTCGAATTAGTTAACGAGATAGTGCGTTATTTACAGAATAAAATGGAGGAACAAAGATCGCGCAGGATTCAAAAGATCGTGGATGGTTTTTTACCAAAAACGATGGACCCAAAGGAACGAGGTTCGGAGACCGATCTGCTGCTGCAATTCTGTTTGTCCCTCAGCAAGGTAAAAAGAACAATTTACCCCCCTCAGATTTTATAAAAAAAGACTCACAGTCACATCTCCAAAAATATCTTTAAAAAACATAAAATTTCCAATATCTATAAATAAACTTTGGCTCTAAAGAATCCGAGTGTTTGAAAGACAGAAAAGATATTGGAATCGAAATTTCTCTCGCTTTTTCCTATTTGCCGATAAGAGCAACGTCACAAAGCACCCATTCACACCGAGTGACTGGTGAACCTTATTGAATAACGTACCGTTTCCGTGTCAGATCTATCCGAAGCACAAGGACCTATATAACTGGGTGGACGTCGATCAGAGGGTGTACGTCCCTTTCAACATGTCCTATCTACAGGAGAGCTTCGGTTATGTGAGTAGACGTTAATGGGAACCGCGATTAGCCGGCTAAGCAAAAGGAAAATGATTTGCTCTGTTCCTGGGTTAGATAAGGTGGGGGACGCTGCTGAACGCCACCATGGGCGCAACCACTGCCGATCTTTATAATCACAGTCGCAATCGGGATCGATCCACTTACGATGATCAATTGGTCTACGTTTACGTTACTGCTCCTCGTTACTTTCGCAGCCTCGGTAAACTGCTGAATCGTTTCTCCAGAAGGTAAGCTTACAGATGTATGCAACTAAGGATGCCACGTAGACTTTTCTTAGATAAATGCTTCAATGTAGACCTCACCATTTTTTGTCTCACTTAATCATAAGATTAGATCAGTAGGTTTGTTGCTGCTGAAATTTATATATTAACTTTGACTGCCAACTTGATGCTTAAATTTCTCATCAGATCTATGTATTTTATTTGTCGACTTCCCTAACTGCAAAATAGTTGTTGTAATTACTTGCAACTATATAGGACAAACATAACAAAATATTATAAAAATATTTATTAAGATAATTTAAAAATAAAAAATAGAACTCAACAAAATTTTCAACAGCCCCAACCTATCAGTCAATGTGTCAATAAAATACCTACAACTCGCACATAGAAATTACCAAACAAATTAAATTAATATCAAAGCAGCCTCGATAAAATTAATTCCACCAAAAGTAATTCAAAGTTCCATTCTTCGTGTATCTTCACTCTACAAATGATTCTGTTCCGAAGCACAATGGCAACCGTATTATACGCGACAGAAAATGTGGATTTACCTCGAAAATGACAGCGCGGAACTCGGTAACGATAAATTCTCGAGGCCTTTCATTTTCGCGCTTTTGATAAGAATGGATTTAAGTTCGGTCGCTGAAAGGCCGGCAAATAATTTATCGCGGTCACGAGACACGAAAAGGTACAACGTCTGACTCGACCCCCAAGGCGTATCTTCCGTGGATTCGATTCTTCCTCGTTCTTCCGCGACATTAAACTCTGAGTCGCAGAATATTAAAGTTGCGATTAAACGGTTAGAGGAATTTAGTTTTGGATGTTTTCTGGGCGTTTAATTAAGATCGACTGATGATGCAGGACTGTTTTGTTAGGAAGTTTATGAAGAAGGATTATGAGGAAGGGTTACACGTTTTTGAGATTTAGGGATTTGGGGATTTGGGGATTTGGGGATTGGGGAATTTGGGGGCGTGGGGATTTGCATGCGTAGGGACTTGAGGGCGTGGCGACTTGGGGGCTTGGGGAGTTGGGGACGTGGGGACTTGGGAACGTGAGGATTTTGGTGCGTAGGGATTTGGGTGCGTGGGAATTTGGGCGTGTGGGGATTTGGGCCCGTGGGGATTTGGATGCGTGGGGATTGAGCGCGTGGGAAATTTGAGTGCGTAGGGATTTGGGTGCGTGGGGATTTGGGGGCATGGGGACTTGAGCGCGTGGGGATTCGGGTGCGTGGGGACTTGAGCGCGTGGGGATTTGGGTGCGTGGGGACTTGAGTGCGTGGGGATTTGGGTGCGTGGGGACTTGAGTGCGTGGCGATTTGGATGCGTGGGGACTTAGGGGCGTGGCGACTTGGGAGCGTGGCTACTCGGGGGCGTGGCGACTTGGAGCGTCAAATTCCCTTATAATAAATTTTACGAAAAATGTCAACTCGAATTTCTTGACTCCCCACAAAAAGTTAATAACCCTCCAACGTCAGCTGCACCTCAATTTTTGCATCGACGTACATATACGTCGAAGGTACTTACGTCCTGTACGTGTTTGAGGTCGTCTTTTTCGGGCGTTAAAATAAAAAACAACTGTTACATCGTTCTTGATCGATTTTTATCGCGTCTTAACTTCTTACACCGTTGAAACAAGCCGGTACCGCTCGTCGAACAATCGCTATATGATGGTGGTAAAAAATTGACGTCGTTATTATGGTGGCCAGATACTCGTTTATTAGTTGAAACGACCGGCGTAATATTGAAAATAACGATGCAACCCGATAACTGTCGTTATATCGGCAGCTTTTTACGATCGCTAGTTTTGAGAACGCCTCTGATATTGCACCGTGTTGATAATTCTTTTGAAAAATTGTCATGGTTCTTTATTAACGCGATCCGATTTCTCGTTTAATTAGAACATTTTTATGGCTCAAGTAAATAGGTGTTCTAAATTTTAATCCTGGATTTATTTTTGTGGTAGGGAAGATGGATATCGCTGTTGTAATTCTCTGAATTTTGTCGTAGGAAGTTTATTTTTTATATTTTTTCTAGGGAGAAGAGAATGTATATTTTTTTAGAGAAGAGTATTGTTCCTAAGGGGAGATTATTATGCTCTCAAATTTTCAGAATATTTTTAGTCCAAAATTTAATCCAAAAGGGAATTACAGTTATTTGAACTAGGAATTGTACCTATGAATACTTTTGGAAATCGTAAAATATGTCGTTAATTGGTCGTAGCAAAACAGTTTTCGACCGAACGATTGCACAGTCAGATTTCGTGGTTTCCGGTCACAAAGGACTGCCGGTTCGATAACGATATTACCCGTGGCGACTAACGAAGACGAATACAGCCAAAAGCGGCGTAATTAAATTCTTCCGGTCAGGCGACTGCATTTCGTTTCATTAATATTCATTCATTGTTACCATTCGTGGTTCGACCGATACTTCGGTCCCGCGAGCAAACCAGTCTCCAACTTTCCGAACACCTCGCGGATTATTCACCGATATCTCCACAAAAATTCAACTGACTACATGTCTTATGTTATACAACATTTACTATACTTCATAAATAAACATTTTGCATTAACATTTTGATCAACGTGTCTCTCGTTTGTGGATGATAAGTCAATTTCAATGAGCATGACCTGTTAGACTCTTTTATGGAAAACATAACGTATAAATGTCTGATTAAAAACATAACCTATAAAAGTCTGATTAAAAACATAACCTATAAAAGTCTGATTAAAAACATAACCTATAAGGCTTTGATCAGAAACATAACCTATAAGAGAGTTTTATTCAAAATGAAACCAATAAGGCTTTCATCGAAAACAGATATTATTAAAGTCTTTTATCAAAATCATAACCTATATGAGTCTCGTTGAAAACATAACCAATAAGTCTTTGATCAGAAACATAACCTATAAGAGAGTTTTATTCAAAATGAAACCAAGAAGGCTTTCATCGAAAACAGATACTATTAGAGTCTTTTATCAAAATCGTAACTTATATGAGTTTTATTGAAAACATAACCTATATGAGCCTCATGGAAAACATAACCAATAAGGCTTTGATCAGAAACATAACCTATAAGAGAGTTTTATTCAACATGAAACCAATAAGGCTTTCATCGAAAACAGATACTATTAGAGTCTTTTATCAAAATCATAACCTATAGGAGTCTCATCAAAAACATAACCTATAAGGTCCTCCATCAGAAAGATAATCTATAAGAGAGCTTTATCTAAATATAACCAATAAGACTTTCATAGAAAAGATATATTATTAGTCTTTTATCAAAAACATAACCCATATGAGTCTCATCACAAACATAACCTATAGGAGTCTCATCAAAAACATAACCTATAAGGTCCTCCATCAGAAAGATAATCTATAAGAGTTTTATCTAAATATAACCAATAAGACTTTCACAGAAAATGTATCATATAAGTCTTCCATCAAAAATATAACCATGAGAGCCTTTTTCAAGAAGTTAACCTATAGAAATTTTAAGAACACCTATAAGAGTAAGATGTATTATTTGAGCTAAATAATTGATAAGGTATATCAAATATAATCAACAAGGAGGAAAATGGATGACGTCTTCGCAGAGTATAATTGCAGATAAAATATTGCGGTCTCGATCATTATCGACTACCCCGAATATTCGAGGAACCCCGAATCGAGGGAAGGTTAATAATGAATATTTGTTCAATGAGCATACATCGAAGCGGTAATTAAGCCGTCTTCTGATTACTCGGTTAAATGAATGCATATGTAAACATCGATATCTAGGATATCTCAAACTTATCTAGGAATATTCTGCAATAAAAAGTCTCTATAAAAACAATAAAAATTGAATCTAAAGAATAATCTCTCAGAAATACTCCGAGTGATCTAAAAAAGAGTTCCAACAACCTAAACTTTGAAATTTCAGAAAATTTCTAAGACGCTTAACAATCTACTCGATTTCCGAGTGTTTCCTACAAGTATCTGATTAGGCAGTTTTAGTTTAATCGCGTATCTCCTGAATCAACAGCCGTAATTAGAGCTGTCGGAGTTTTAACGAGGCAAACGAGTCATATACTAACTTTTGGAGCGTCGATTACCAAATCGTACCGATTACATTAAAGCAACTTCTCGGCACGGTTAGTTGAATTTCACGAGGCAGATTGCAGGCTGTGGTCGGGAATGTCGCGAACACTGACAGGGAAGCAACAAAATTTGCATAATACATCCACACGCCGGAGAGCGTACAAGGTAAACGACGACGTTTACGTCTGTTCACAGCGTGCCGATACGTTCGAAGTTGCCCCAAACTCTCCGTTACTGTTCCTCGATGCTGACATCGTATATACACGCGCTTTGTTACCGCTACAAATTATTTTATTCGACCGCGAGTAATCGGCCTTTAATCTTTCGATTCGATGGCCAATTAGCGTGGTGATCCGTAAAACGTTCGGTGCCAGAAACAGTTGCGTTGGTGCAAGGATATTTGTTCGCGATATTAATTTAGACTTAATATTTTTCTATTCTTATGGTCGGGGAATTTGTTCATTTTGCGAATTTGAGGATTTGGGGATTTAGGAATTTGGGGTTTGGACACTTGGGGATTTGGGGATTTGAGAATTTCGGAATTTGGGAATTCGGAAATTTGAGGTCTTGGATACGTGGGGATTTGGGGGCGTGGGAACTTGGGGATGTGAGGATTTGGGTGCGTTGGGACTTGGGGGCGTGGCGACTTGGGTGCGTGGAGGCTTGGGGACGTGAGGATTTGGGCGCGTGGGGATTTGGGCACGTGGGGATTTGGGCACGTGAGGATTTGGGTGCGTGGGGACTTGGGGACGCGAGAAGTTGGGTGCGTAGGAATTTGGGCGCGTGGGGATTTGGGCGCGTGGGGATTTGGGTGCGTGGGGACTTGGGGACGCGAGAAGTTGGGTGCGTAGGAATTTGGGCGCGTGGGGATTTGGGCGCGTGGGGATTTGGGTGCGTGGGGACTTGGGGACGCGAGAAGTTGGGTGCGTAGGAATTTGGGCGCGTGGGGATTTGGGCGCGTGGGGATTTGGGTGCGTGGGGACTTGGGGACGCGAGAAGTTGGGTGCGTAGGAATTTGGGCGCGTGGGGATTTGGGCGCGTGGGGATTTGGGTGCGTGGGGACTTGGGGACGCGAGAAGTTGGGTGCGTAGGAATTTGGGCGCGTGGGGATTTGGGCGCGTGGGGATTTGGGTGCGTGGGGACTTGGGGACGCGAGAAGTTGGGTGCGTAGGAATTTGGGCGCGTGGGGATTTGGGCGCGTGGGGATTTGGGTGCGTGGGGACTTGGGGACGCGAGAAGTTGGGTGCGTAGGAATTTGGGCGCGTGGGGATTTGGGCGCGTGGGGATTTGGGTGCGTGGGGACTTGGGGACGCGAGAAGTTGGGTGCGTAGGGATTTGGGTGCGTGGGGATTGGAGTGCGTGGAGATTCGGAGGCGTGGCGACTTGGATGCGTGGGGACTTGGGGGCGTGGCGACTTGGATGCGTAGGGACTTGAGGGCGTGGCGACTTGGATGCGTGGGGACTTGGAGGCGTGGCGACTTGGATGCGTGGGGACTTGAGGGCGTGGAGACTTAGGGGCGTAGTTATTTGGGTATTTAGAGCTTCGGACATTTGGAGGCCACAAAACTTGAGGGCTACAGAAATATGAGAACTTGAGAATTTGCTAATTTGAAACTACAAAAAATCCTTAGACAAAAATACTTATTGTAAAAAGAAAATTTGAATTACCAATAAAAAAGCACCAATAATCTCGTCAACTTCGAGTATCGAATGCCTAAACATAAACACTCAGTGTTGTAACGGAAGGGAAACAGAAAGGGAAATTTAATTATTGAACAGAAGTGTTGGACGTGTAAACTCCACGGTCTAGACTTGTTGAGAAAAAAGGAAAAGTTGGCTTCGGGAAACAAGGATCAGGCTTAGATAGCTTAACTCGGGTTATTCGGTCGGCGAACAGAAGGAATGTAGTCTTTCCAGGAAATCCAAGGTGAAATTCTTCGGTCGGAGCTTGCGTTTGAAGCAACAGATTCTGGAGCACGTTGCAATGTCAGGGGTTAGGTGATAGCTTTTACGGCTCTCTGTTCATGATTCTATAATATATTCCTAGACAGAGACACGATATACGTTTGTACAATTTATGGATTTGTAACATAATCTTTATTCGTATTAATACTCCACACTTAAACATTGTCAGTTTTTTAATTTTTTAATGTTTATACTAATAAACATATGGTGCATGTGTGTTCATTCATTACACACATGTTGAAGTATATTTATTAGTCTTCCTATACGTTTCCTACAAATCCGCAATACACAAACTACATAACCCATAACATTCGTACTATTTTGTCTAACATAAATAATTATTAAAACCATAAATGTACATAAAGTATATATAAACTTGAACAGACGACACAGAGAAACTTTTGTAGGATACTATACAATCGATATCGTAGACTCAGGGGCGAGGGTTAAAGGAGTATCCCCGGTAAATCGACGAGTACGAATGGGGTAACCGCGAAATTATCGAGTTCGTAGCCAGTTAAGCCTAATATCAGTAAAACGGATTGATAGCGTGGCAAACATTCGGGATTCCGAAACGCCACTCTTGCCAGCGTGTGCTCGTTGCTCGCTATTATCTCTGCTAGACAGACAGACGCAAACCGAGGGGATGAATGCAGCCAGCCATCGCGATAATTACTGCCGAAGGTATTCCTTGCCGCGGGAACGAGACGGCCGTATCCTGCCGCCAATTTGTTCCCGGCCATGTATCGTCCTTAATGCTCCGAGTTGTTTCACTCTCGAGACGAGAACGCAGAACCGTTCCAATTAATCTCCTTCCGCTACGAATCACCGTCATTTCAAATACTCGACCATTTCTATTACTCTCTTTAATTTCTGCCTTCAACCTTTAGAGTATCACCTAAAAGTCTTTTGTATAATTGTATGCATGTATGAGCAAAGTACACATGTGTGGTCCTCATTGAATATACACATATGTGGCTATCGTTGAACATACACACATGTGGCTATCATTGAACCTACACACATGTGGCCATCATTGAATATACACACATGTGGTTATCATTGAACCTATACACATACGTGGTCATCATTGAATATTCACATATGTGGCCATCATTGAACCTACACATATGTGGCTATCATTGAACCTACACACATGTGACCATCATTGAATATGCACACATGTGGTTATCATTGCACTTATACACATACGTGGTCATCATTGAATATTCACATATGTGGCTATCATTGAACCTACACATATGTGGCTATCATTGAACCTACACACATGTGGCTATCATTGAATTTAAACAAATGTGGTTATCATTGAACCTATACACATATGTGGTAATCATTGAATATTCACATATGTGGCCATCATTGAACCTACACATATGTGGTTATCATTGAACCTATACACATGTGGTTATCATTGAATTTAAACACATGTAGTTATCATTGAACCTACACATATGTGGCTATCATTGAACCTACACATATGTGGCCATCATTGAATATTCACATATGTGGCCATCATTGAACTTATACATATGTAGCCATCATTGAACCTACACACATGTGTCCATCATTGAACCCACACACATGTGACCACCATTGAACATACACATGTCACATACTTGAAACATAATAATGAACTCCACAATAATTTTCCTCCATTTTGTTTTCTGTTACACGCATGGTGCACGATTGTACGGTGACCATAAGTTGAATTGAAATATTGAAACCGATATTTTTGTAATGATAATAAAATTAGAAGTGTTTGGTGGGTAAAATAGCGAGACCACAATGGAGAAAGCTTGAACTCGATGAAAATTAAACCGTGCATTAAATGTCGGTCGGATGGTGCACTCGGGGAACAGCATCATCGTCTTGCGTAACATTTACGAGCAGAGAAGTTCATACGCAGCGTGAATCGTGAGCTAGCTGCTCGGTTAATAAATGTAGCACGACCATAAATTTTAATGCTAGCAGCCAGTATGGCACGCGTCGTAAATCGCTGCCTAATTCGTCCATTACCCTCCGTCGAGAAATTTCATAGCCTTATGCCGAAATTCGGTTTCTGGTCTTGTCGAATGGTTCCTTGCAATTTGAACTTTTCTTATGATTATCTTTGTCGTTTAAATAAACGTCTTAATTGATAATAATTGAGATTAGTCATTAAACTTCTACTTAACTGTTAATATACAATAAATTATTTAACTTCTACTACTACACTGTTAATAATGAGACTTGCTCGTTGCCAGAAAATAGAATGGAGTACCATAAATAATTTGCCCGTCGAATTTCTGTAAATTACAGTGCTTACCTGTTCGGATTGTGCCTTGAGTGTTACGATTTCTCCCAACGAAACTAATAGCAGAAAAGCCCCGTTTACGTCCGCGAATGGAAAACATAAATTTTTCGAAATTTCTCCGAAATCCCCGTTTACTGTTGGTTCGAAGCGTGGCCGGCAAAGAATCGATAGCGCTAATTCGTTATGCTTTCGAGGCCAGCTGTTCATTATTATAGCCCCGGGGGCCATTATCTTTCCAATAAAATATATATTCGCTAGCTTTATTCGTTGCGCCGGTTTGTTGAACGAACACAGACGGAACTCTCGGAACGTTGCTACCGTCAAGAACAAAACGAGTCTCTAAACAGTAAAAAATGAAAAATTAATTCACCTCGGTTTGTCCCGGAACACGTATTTATTCGAAACGCAATTGTCTCGCCACGAAGAATACTTACAAATATATCTTGTTACGAAGGATTATTCACAACGGATTGTTGCTGCTGTACGCCGTGGACACGCTTCATGACATCGTGAACGTGACCGCCAGCAAGGATTGGGAACTTTCGTGCTTCAAATTGACGAAGGACGTGTTCAGTGAAATTGTCGGGGCCCTTTATGTGCGACAGTACACTCCTCAGTATTTAGAGACTCTTGCCAACAGGGTAAGGAACCAAATACCGTAATGAAGTACTTTATTACATGTTAAATATGAAGTATGTGATGATATGTTATATATGAAGCACAGTATGATATGTTACATATGAAGCTATGTGATAATATCACATATGAAGTACATTATGATATGTTACATATGAAGTTATGTGATGATATGTTACATATGAAGCACATTATGATACGTTACATATGAAGTTATGTGATAATATCACATATGAAGTATGTGATGATATGTTACATATGAAGCACATTATGATATGTTACATATGAAGCATATGATGATATATTACATATGAAGCACAGTATGATTTGTTACATATGAAGTTATGTGATAATATCACATATGAAGCGCATTATGACATGTTAGATATGAAGTATGTGATGATATGTTACATATGAAGCACATTATGATGTGTTACGTATGAAGTTATGTGATACTATCACATATGAAGTACATTATTACACGTTACATATGAAGTTATGTGATAATATCACATATGAAGTACATTATGGTACGTTACATATGAAGTATGTGATGGTATGTTACATATGAAGTTATGTGGTAATATCACATATGAAGTACATTATGTTACGTTACATATGAAGTATGGGATGATGTGTTACATATGAAGCTATGTGATAATATGTTACACACGAAGTGTATTATGATAGGTTACATATGAAGTATATTATAATACGTTACATATGAAGTCTGTGATAGTATGTTACATATGAAGCCATGTGATGATACGTTACATATGAAGTATGTGACGATATGTTACATAATGAAGCTATGTGATGATGTATCACATATGATGTATGTAATAATATATTCACATATGAAGTATGAGATGATATGTCACACATGAAGCACATTATGTTACGTCACATATGAACTATATTATTATACGTTACATATGAAGTATGTGATGGTATGTTACATATGAAGCTATCTGATGATATATTACATACGAAGCTATATGTTGTATCACATATATTATATGTAATGATACGTCACATATGAAGTATGAGACGATACTTCACACGCGAAGTACAATGTGATATGTTACATATGAAGTATGTAATGCAACGTAATATATGTCCAAAAAAATCTAAGCAAAAGTAAATGCAAAATAAATTATGTTCGGAACAGGTGGGAGGTTTGTTCGAGCGAGTGAAAGAGACAGTAGCCGAGCGTATTTTAGTGAAATCCTGGTTAGACGAGGAGACAAGGACACAGGCGTTGTTGAAGCTGAACTCATTGCGAGGAAGATTTCACGTGTGGCCTGGTTTCTACAACGACAGCCTGTTGGCCCGCGAAATGGCCGAGGTGATGCCTTCTTCATGGTTCCTTGCACCTGGCATGCTACATTTTCACCATCGAACTCTGTTAAGAACAACACAATTCACGTTTCATTAAATTAACAATTCTAAGAAATCACTGCTTTTAAGATATACTTGATTTCTCACATACTTGAGAATAAATTATTAGAGTTAGAAAAATACGTGTGGAAGTCTAAATTTTTAGTGTTTGATTTTTATATAGTTTTTGTGATTTTTGATGTAGGTGGAGATCAATCCGGAGGACTTCTTTCGTAGCGTACTGATGCGTTTCCGACAGATTCGCACCGTGGACGACAAGGTTCTGCGGAGAAACGTGACAGAAAAGTGAGCAATGAATTTTAATACCAACAAAGTTTCTTTCACTATCACATCAAAGAATGAAAGAACTTTAAGATTTAAGAACTACAAAAAACTCTAGTAACAAGTTTAATTTTTAAACTCTTTATTCCAGACGTCGACATCCGTACAGCGTGAACGCTTACTACGAGTCTTCGACGAACACAATCGGTAAAACCGACACTTAATCTTACTGTCACACTTAAAAAGATCAAACAGACAATTATTAAGCTTTCCATCGATTATTCAGGTATTCCGTTAGCGATGATGGTGGCTTGGGCCTGGTCCTGGGACAGTGGACCCGCGTACGCGGCGCACGCGACCCTCGGTTCAGTGATCGGTCACGAAATTCTTCACGCTTTCGACCTCCATCGACGTCGACTGCCACTAGACCCCGATTTGAACGTCGATCAATGGCTCTGGATCACTCCGGAATCCTGGAAGAGGCTGGAAGCGAGGATCGAGTGCGTCGCGAGACTATACGCCAGGAGCTTCTGGAGGAAAGTTCAGTTCTACGGAAACGACGTCGCTGTACAGGTCTTCTTTCTTACTCAACTAATTTGAACTGAAAAACAAACGAAGAAACAAATTACATATGAAGCACATTATGATGTGATTCATATGAAGTTATGTGATAATATCACATATGAAGTACATTATGACATGTTACATATGAAGTATGTGATGATATGTTACATATGAAGCACATTATGATATGATACATATGAAGTTATGTGATAATATCACATATGAAGTATATTATGACATGTTACATATGCAGTATGTGATGATATATTACATATGAAGCACATTATGATGTGATACATATGAAGTTATGTGATAATATCACATATGAAGTACATTATGACATGTTACATATGAAGTATGTGATGATATGTTACATATGAAGCACATTATGATATGATACATATGAAGTTATGTGATAATATCACATATGAAGTACATTATGACATGTTACATATGAAGTATGTGATGATATGTTGCATATGAAGCACATTATGATATGATACATATGAAGTTGTGTGATAATATCACATATGAAGTACATTATGATACGTTACATATGAAGTATGGGATGATATGTTACATATGAAGCACATTATTATATGATACAAATGAAGTTATGTGATAATATTACACATGAAGTACGTTATGACATGTTACATATGAAGTATGTGATGATATGTTACATATGAAGCATATTATGATGTGATACATATGAAGTTATGTGATAATATCACATATGAAGTACATTATGACATGTTACATATGAAGTTTGTGATGATATGTTACAAATGAAGTATATTATAATATCTTACATATGAAGTATGTGATGATATGTTGAATATGAAGTTTTGTGATAATATCACATATGAAGTATATTATGATACGTTACATATGAGGTATGTGATGATATGTCACATACGATGTATGTAATGATATGTCACATATGAAGTATGAGATGATATGTCACACATGAAGTTCCATATGATATGTCACACATGAAGTTCCATATGATATGTTACATATGAAGTATATTATAATACGTTACATATGAAGCTATGTGACGGTATGTTACATATGAAGTATATTATGATACTTATTCAACTAATTTAAACTGGAAAACAAACGAAGAAACAAATTATTGAAATTTCAATTTAAATATTCATGAACTGGGTCATAAATCTTCATTCCGCGAGTTCGAGGTTGTAAGATAGGGTCAAAAGCGTGCGAAGTATAATACATACAACCATTTCCCTCTGGTAGATAAACTAGAATAATGAGCTGCGGGATGAAATCAGGAAGGGATGATATATCTGGGTTTCATGGTAGCTTACACTTTCCGCAAGGTTCTAAAGAATAATTATGCAAAATTTGACCTGAAGGGTTTAGCTATCAATCTGGATTACGTTCTACGGTGTAAAAAGGAAAATTGTTTCAGTTTGATTGGAACGTGACGAGGAACGAGAACGTGGCTGACATCGGAGCCTTGCAAATTTCTTATAAAACTTGGCATACGCTGACGAACGGGAAGGATCGAAGTCTGCCTGGGTTAGAGGGACTTCGACCGAGTCAGCTTTTCTTCATAAGCGCCGCCCAGGTAAACTTTAATATGACACTATTCAGAAATTATTTTATTCTAATTTTAATTATTTGAAATGAAGTAATTTAATTTCGAGTTCATGGAACTGTTTTGATAGCATTTTGTATTTGTTCTAGACATACTGTTCTAATATGACTGCCGAGGCCTACATTCTCTCCGTTGAACTCGATTATCACACGCCTCAGCCTGAAAGGTACGATGTTTATGTAATTCGGAAGCAATTCATTTATGGTACAAACGAAATATCTGTACACATGAAATACACTCTACAATATATACAGTATCAGCAATATTTTATTAACATTAACTTTGATCATTTGATTTGCAAATGTGAGAAGTTTCATAAAGGATGCTTTAACTCTCTGAGGTTAGGTTAAAAATTTCTACTCAAGAAGTTGTCATTCGTTGTCAAACAGTTTGCCAAATTTAATTTGTTATATACTTATGTATTATATATTATATTACAATTATGTAATTTGTACAAAATAATTATTTACAGTTTCATTAAGTGCAACTTGAGTTCTAAAATTGAGTTCAAAAATTTCTTTAAAATCCTCAAGTTAAATAGAGTGAATGATCTGTAGTAATATTTCTCGGTTTGTTAATATATTTTTTGGTTTCAGGGTCAACGGTATAATGATGAATTCCCAAGCGTTCGCGGACGCGTTCCGTTGTCCGATCGGAACCAAAATGAACCCCCCGAACAAGTGCACCACCTGGTGATGATCGATAACGTCAGACTTCATTCGCATCAATATTCTCGATCGTTGGGATTCGATTCGGAAAACGGCGTGTTGCAGTTGGTGATACCCGAAGCGACAAGGGTTGCTCAGTTTTTTCGATTGTCGAGCGATCCTGCGTCGGAGAAGATCGATTCAACTACCATCCTCGAGTAGGTACTTTATCAACCCCTGTTACACACCTGCGTACACATGTATCTTCGTTTATGGCAAATGTATCTTCAGTTAGGGTCAAATTTATCTTCAATCAGATTCAAATGTATCTTCAGTTAGGGTCAAATGTATCTTCAGTTAGGGTCAAATGTAGTTCTTGAGTTATGAACAAATGTATCTTCTGTTAGGGTCAAATGTAGTATCTTGAGTTATGAACAAGTGTATCTTCAGTTATGTTCAAACATATCTTTAGTTAGGTTCAAATGTATCTTCAGTTATGTTCAAATGTAGTATCTTGAGTTATGAACAAATATATCTTCAGTTATGTTCAAACATATCTTTAGTTAGGTTCAAATGTATCTTCAGTTATGTTCAAATGTAGTATCTTGAGTTATGAACAAGTGTATCTTCAGTTATGTTCAGACATATCTTTAGTTATATTCAAATGTATCTTCAGTTATGTTCAAATGTAGTATCTTGAGTTATGAACAAATGTATCTTCAGTTATGAACAAGTGTATATACATTAATATGTAATCTGTCTATCACATCTTCAACCACATATCATTAACACATCACCAGCATTTTTATTCTTATTCTTAAAAATACAGTGCCAAAATAAATAACCAGAACTAATACATACAACTATATTTTCTAAGAAAAAAAAAAAATGAAAGATACTTGAATAATTGTATTTTATTTTGCAGAGATTCTACCGAAAGCTTCGAACACCATTCGAGCAACGTACAACAATGAATCGCTTTATCGACCAGTTCGATGACAAAGGATCGATCGATAGCTTCAGAGAGTTTTCAGAGAGTGTACAGGAACTTAGCTCGTTCGAACGCGCCGTTAACGTTAATATCTCTCCCTACGACGCCTCTAGAGGTCCTTAGAATACTTATCATAGTGAAAGCAATAAATTATTACGAGAGAACAGACGAGTGAGTGGTACACGCAAATGAAAAAGAATAAAAAAAAAAATTCAGAAAAAAACGTACACGTACACGTAAGCAGATTATAACGCTTCGATCAGTTTGCAGAATGGAGTCGGTAGATATTGGTAAGCTTGATGAGGGAATTAGCGATCGACGTTGTTTCTTTAGCGGAACGAGCAACTTTGAATAGACAGAATCGATTGCTGCACTGAACAAATCGAGATTAGAACGAATTGGTTCTTCGATAGGAAGATGAGATCAGCTTCAATCTTTGAGTACTGTGCTACTCTAAATTTATGGGCTATTTCTAGCTCTTTGCGCTGAAAATTCTTTAACAACACTTTTATCTTATTATTCTTCCTTTGTGAAGAATTATTTAATTATTTTGTTATTGTATGTTCAGGTTAATTATTGTTATAGACTCAATTTTTTGTGGGTCTAAAATTCAAGTTAAAAATATAAAAATATAAAATGGTTATAAAATTGTTCTTCATAACAAAAATTGATCTATAACAAAAGAACTAACAGAGGAATTGTAAAAGTACAGAAAATTGCAACTTCTCATAAACCAAATTAATGTAACAATAAAAAATATAAATAAAGAAGAATTATAAAATAAAAATATAAATAAAGAAGAATTATACAATAAAAATATGAAAAATGAAACCAGAAATAAAAGAATGAAAATGTGCAAGAAATAAAGTAGCAAAAGTGCAAAGAGCTAGATTTGAAGAACGATTGAAGCTGATTTCGGCCATTTTGTGGTCGACAAGATCTGTAAGCACTCACGAAGCGAACGTTTAGTTTCTCGCGCACCGATTGTCTTCGCTCTTATTAGTCTGTAAAGGTTGTAAAGATTGTAAATAACGGGTTCCCACCCTTTTCTCTTCACCCTTTCTTCAGTTTAGTTTAGTTACTGGTACTGTGAGATTGCGATGTACGTCACAGTAGTTCTTTCTTTTACCTCCGTGTTAACCTCGTGGTCGTTGATCACTGATATTCAACTATTTGTGCACTCTCTACATTGAATCAATATAGAGTAATAAATTAAATGTGTAGTCTTAATCATTTTTATTGTATGTTTTATTTTGTTTTTATAGTTTGCTTCAATTAGCGTGTTAACTCTAGAAAGATTATGTTTGAAAGATTATGACTTGGCAATACCAATTGAAGATGTAAATTATTGTTAGGAAATTACTGTTACTTTTATATTTTATTTTTTATTTTATATTTTAGACTTCTATTTTATAAACTGGTATTGGAGATTTGTTAATACCAGTTAAATATGTAAATTATTGTTAGGAAATTATTGTTACTTTTATTTTATATTTTGAACTTCTATTTTATAAACTAATATTGGAGATTTGTCAATACTAGTTAAATATGTAAATTATTGTTAGGAAATTACTGTTACTTTTATATTTTATTTTTTATTTTATATTTTAGACTTCTATTTTATAAACTAGTATTGGAGACCTGTCAATACTAGTTAAATATGTAAATTATTGTCATAAAATTATTGTTACTATTTTATATTTTGGGCTTCTATTTTATAAACTAGTATTGGAGGCTTGTCAATACCAGTTGAATATGTAAATTATTATTATAAAATTATTGTCACTATTTTATATTTTGGACTTCTATTTTATAAACTAGTATTGGAGACTTGTCAATACCAGTTAAATATTTAAATTATTGTCATCAAATTATTGTTACTATTTTATATTTTGGGCTTCTATTTTATAAACTATTATTGAAGACTTGTCAATACCAGTTAAATATATAAATTATTGTTACTATTTTATATTTTGGGCTTCTATTTTATAAACTAGTATTGGAGACTTGTCAATACCAGTTAAACATGTAAATTATTGTTACTATTTTATATTTTGGACTTCTATTTTATAAACTAGTATTGAAGACTTATTTTGAGTATTAATACCAAAGAAGATTTGTTAAAAATATTGCTAAAAATATTAAACTTGCTAAAAGTACTAAGAGAAAATAAAATTCAGTAAAAATTTAGTAGTTAAATTGAGAATGGAAGTATCTTTCTAGAGTTAACTGGCTACAACAAAGAAGAATAGAGAGTGTTTGATTTGCAGTGTTATCGTGGATTCCAGTACCGCATTCAACTATTCCGTGTGTTGGCAACCATGGTTCATTGCTCCGTGTTGATTCAACGAGAGTTGTTTTAGAGAGCAGGTTAATTAACTCTCGCGCTTTCATTCACTCGTATTTCGCTCAGTTTTCCTACGTACGAACACAAATTTCGATTGAAGCTTCGCTTTTATTCGTGACACCGTTTCGCCTCGGTTCTCGATGGAAAATCGGCTTTCAGTTTTGATCTCCAATCGATCCCGACGAACAGCTCACTACTTTTTCAACGTTTAACCCTTTCCAACCTCACGTTTCGTTGCTTACCAACTTTCAAATCTATCAATTTCAAAATAACGTATCAAGTTCAGAATTTTAAAGGGATAAGTTTTATAAGCTTAAAAATAATTTTATTGAAATTTAACGCGTAAACTGTGGAGGGTTGGACGGGGTGAGAGTTTCGGTATTTAATTATTCGCTTCAAGGCACTTAGATGTAAGAAATAGTTCCTAATCTTCGATTCGTTTTCGATTGACTAATGCCTGAAAAGTATTGTGACGCGTTGCGTGCCGATGGTTCCTTTCATAAGAAATTAAATTATTCTTTAAATAATTAATATTCTACATCTTGCTAATAGAATTAGTAACTATGAACAAATTCAAACAGAATAACGTTTAAAAAATCATTAATAATTTCGACCATAAAATTACAAACACTGTAAGCATTTTTACAGTCAAATTTTTGTAATTCTTTCAGTTATTGATTTTAACAAATTATTGTAAAATTGGTTGACATAAAATGAACCAGCGACTAACTCTTAAATTTTAAGATCTTACTCTTAATTACTCTTTAAATCGTAAACGAATAGCCTCGCAAATTTCTCCAGTACAAAATAATAATCCAGTATAAAATAGAAAATGTAATAATAAAAAAAATATTCAGAAGGTTTGAGGCGGCATGTAACGCGTAAACAGTGCGCTATAAAGTGCACGTTCCCTCAATTAAACGTTCCTTGCACAAATATTTACGTTTGCAACGCTGTTTCCGCGGAGCAGGTATTTTCAATGAAATTCAGTGGGCTGTTCGTCGCTCGTGATTCCCTTTTGGTCGTCGAACGGTTGGTCCGCAATACGCGTCGCCATTTACCGGTCGTCTTGCAAAACAAATTTCCGCGAACCGCAGAAATTTCATCGTCGTGAGCCGACGACTAGCGAAGGTTGTTACAATTTTAGTGCGTTTACGCAAGAATCGCGATCTGTGATATTCTTAAGCAGTACTTAAGCAACTCGAGGATCTTCGTGTTCGTTCTCGATGGAGCAAATTCTAATTCTGTCTTAGGGGATCTTCAGGGATCTTTTAGACCATAGAGGACGACGATCGGATGATCCTCGTCGAATCGAAAGCATAAAGTCACGTTATTTAAACACCGTTGTAAATGTAAATGGCTGATAACTCATATGGCAAATAAATATGGTTTATATACAATGGCGATGACTCTTATTTATCCACTGTTAGGTTACATTTTATTATAGATTCATTTTTTTAAAAATTTGAAAATAATTAGGGTGCAAATTTGAAATAGAGTTCTTTAGAGTTTTTTAGAAGTGAGTTGACATTTTTGTCACATTTTTATTATTATATTTGTCTCATTACATTTATATTATTTTTGTCACATTTTTATTATTATATTTGTCTTATTACATTTATATTATTTTTGTCAAATTTTTATTGTCATATTTGTCTCATTACATTTATATTATTTTTGTCACATTTTTATTATCATATTTGTCTTATTACATTTATATTATTTTTGTCAAATTTTTATTATCATATTTGTCTCATTACATTTATATTATTTTTGTCAACTTTTTATTATCATATTTGTCTTGTTACATTTATATTATTTTTGTTACAGTTTTGTCACAGTTTTGTGACATTTTTGTGTACATGTGGAGGTCAGTTAACACTGAATTATCAGTTACCTTCAACTACTAAAATTATGCAATTATACAACACACAAATGTATAATAAAATTAGTCAAATTAGTCAAATCTTTAGTCAATCTTATTTTACATTTCAAAAATTGTTAACATTTCCTTTATTGATTTTTGCTGAGACTCAGCGTGTATTCCTGCTTTACCAATGTTAATATATGTGGACAAGTCTTTGAGAATAGAAACAGTTTTATTTTCTATCGATTTTCTATCGATCCCAAAAACAGTCGAGTATCTCTGCTCTGCTTCTAACCCCACGTTACAATAGAAAATCTGCTCAATTTTATAAGAAATAGTGATTAACAACTTTCATATATTGCGTGAAGTCTCGATTTTTCCTTTTTTATCGTTGTTTATATTTTGTTCTTATGAGTGGAATTTCTTGCACCATTAATTCGAGACTCGAAGACTGCATCCGAGAATGAGCTCCTTGATAGGTCATCTAACATGTCATTGGCTGTCTGGCACTTCCTGATCCTATGGGTAACAGTCTAATCATTTCTTGCTTTTCAAACATTTCTTTCATTTTTATTTTCTCGTCCATTTCATTCATTTTTACTATTTTAATAATTTCATTCATTTTATTTATTTCAATCATTTTACTCATTTTACTTATTTCAATAATTCCATTCATTTTATTTATTTCAATCATTTCAATCATTTTATTTATTTCAATAATTTTATTCATTTTACTTATTTCAATAATTTCACTCATTTTATTTATTTTAATCATTTCACTCATTTTACTTATTTCAATCATTTTACTCATTTTATTTATTTCAATAATTCCATTCATTTTATTTATTTCAATAATTTCATTCAATTTATTTATTTCAATCATTTTAACAGTTTCAGTCAAAACACAAAGTTCACTCTTCACCAAATAAATTTCTACCCCCGCAATTTATTTTCCTGATACCTTTTCTCCCCGATTTCGATTTAGATGACACTGGTCTCTTGTCCAATTATGAGCGAAGCACGGTATCCCTATGTGTCGGAATTTGAGTACGTTCCACGGCTTCATCCTTCCAGAAACCCAGATTGCCCGTCGAGGTTCGTCGATAAAGAGAAAACCCAAGAGGATTACAACCGATGGAATCGACCGTCGATAGAGATCAGAGCTGTGCTTTCCCGCTGCTCCAAGTATATAAATCACAAATAAAAAATTTCCTTTCAAAGTGGTCCAAGGATTTGTTTTATTGCTTAGGCGACGAGTACGACGCGGATACACCGAGGGTCAAGGGATAACTAATTGCTCGAAGAAAATTGTTATTAATATGAGGTTCAATAATATTGGCAAGGTATCTCAATTATTATTCGAAAGTTTTTTAGTGTCTATTCTTTTATGCAATTTACGTATCTTCATTTGCAATTTTCGTACATTCGTCATTTTCGTGCGTTCGTATGTTTTAGAACATTCATATATTCATCTTCGTGTTTTACAATATTCATACATTCATTTTTATGTTTTACAATATTCATTTATGTTATTATATTCATTTTTATGTTCTGCAATATTCAGATATTCATCTTCCTGTTTTACAATATTCATTTATTCAACTTTACTGTATTCATTAGTATGGTATGCAAAAATGAAAGAATCTTGCAGATGAAAAATCATAAACCATAATCAATAACAATCAACCATTATGTACCCATTAATTTTAATATTAAAAATAGATGAATACTATAAATTATACAATAATGAATACTGAACATGAATACCATAAACCATAATCAATAACAGTCAACCATTATGTACCTATTTATTTTAATATTCATAGTAGATGAATACTATAAATTATACAATAATGAATACTGAATATGAATACAATAAACCATAATCAATAACAGTCAACCATTATGTACCCATTAATTTTAATATTCAAAATAGAAGAATACTACAAACTATACAATAATGAATACTGAATATGAATACAATAAACCATAATCAATAGCAATCAACCATTATGTAACCATTAATTTTAATATTCAAAATAGAAGAATACTATAAACTATACAATAATGAATACTGAACATGAATACCATAAACCATAATCAATAGCAATCAACCATTATGTACCCATTAATTTTAATATTCAAAATAGAAGAATACTACAAACTATACAATAATGAATACTGAATATGAATACAATAAACCATAATCAATAACAGTCAACCATTATGTACCCATTAATTTTAATATTCAAAATAGAAGAATACTACAAACTATACAATAATGAATACTGAACATGAATACAATAAACCATAATCAATAACAGTCAACCATTAAGTATTTACACCTTCCATCTATTTTAACATACATGCACACACATGTATATAATAAATGTTCATATTTACATGTTCATATTTCATATACAAAAAATATATACAACCAAAAAAATTGTCCCAACACTCCTTAACAAAATCCATCATCCTCAGACCGAAACTCAAGAAAAATTCATAGTAATCGACCACGTATTGGATTCCTCAAGCATGAAGAAAGTGCCCCTGCAAAGTCCATACGTGATAAAAGTCCGTCAAGAGGCAGTGATCCACTTATACGGTTTAAAATTTCAAAGTGTGAGTACCACAAAAGTTACTCGAAAAATTTGAAATTAAAGTTGCTGCCATGATCGACTGGCGTTGGCAGCTCCGTTGGTATATTATCATAGCTGGAGAAGGTTTTTATATATCGAAGGCAGCTAAGCAAGGTCTCGGTTTTACCAATCGCCGGTCGAGATACCATCGGAGTCGCCAACGGAACCTCGCGAGCAACCTTATTGATCGCACGACTTTGAACAAGGTTGTTAACGCAGAGGCGAGAGAAGAAGTGATTAACAACGAGAGCCCGAATTACACGGGATGCAACGTTGATTCCGAGAATCCTACCTGCGGTCTCACCTTCATGCACGGGGAACCTGTTCCTTTTAGTCAGGTGAATGACTTTCGAAATCAAGGTCGTTTCATGTTGTCGAATAATCTTTTGTTCTTAAATGTTTGAAAAAAATGAAGTTGACTAGTGTCACTCTTGAATGTCACTTAAAATACTTTTTAAACAAATGTTTAAGAATAAAAGATTATTAGAAGACAGTAATTTAAAACCAAACCTTGTGGACATGTCCATTCATGTTGTTGAACAATCTTTTATTTTTAAATGTCTGTAAAAAAATGAAGTTGACTAGCATCACTATTGAATATCATTTAAAATAATTTTTAAACAAATGTTTAAGAATAAAAGATTATTAGAAGGCAGTCATTTAAAACCAAACTTTGTGGACATGTCCATTCATGTTGTTGAACAATCTTTTATTTTTAAATGTTTGTAAGAAAATGAAGTAGACTAGCATCACTCTTGAGTATCATTTAAAATAATTTTTAAACAAACATTTTAAAATAAAAGATTATTAGAAGACAGTCATTTGAAACCAAAACCTTGTGGACATGTCCTCTCATGTTGTCCAATAATCTTTTATTTTTAAATGCTTGCAAGAAAATGAAGTAGACTAGTATCACTCTTGAATGTCCCTTAAAATACTTTTTAAACAAACATTTTAAAATAAAAGATTATTAGAAGACAGTCATTTAAAACCAAACCTTGTGGACATGTCCACTCATGTTGTTGAACAATCTTTTATTTTTAAATGTTTGTAAGAAAATGAAGTAGACTAGCATCACTCTTGAATATCATTTAAATTAATTTCTAAACAAAGACTTAAGAATAAAACATTATTTGTAGACAATCATTTTTTGAATGTCATTTAAAATAATTTTTAAACAAACATTTGAGTACAACAGATTACTCTAAAACGATCATTTTGAACTTGAAATAAAAACAAAATACTTGAACGACATTAATTCTTCCTTTCAATGAAAATCTATTCATGAAGCTTGTGACGAACACTTTGAATGAAGTCAATCTTTCAAAAACATCTTAACATTCCTAAAACAAGATTTCCTTTCAACTGAAATTTAATTTCACGTGTTATTCATTGTTGACACTGTCCACAATTTTTTAATTACTTTAACAAGCTTTTATCAAAAATAAAAATTGATGCAACCCCTTCTTCAATACATATAATTTATTCCAAAGTGTATTTAACATGAAACAATCTCTCGCAATCTGTCAACCTAAACCATTACACCCAAAACAAAGCTACAAAAGGTTAAAATCGCCAACCGAATGATAAACGCCCACCACAAATTCCACTTGAAATCCGTGTATCTCTCTGAGCAATCAAACTAATCATTGCAGGGTTTCTGTTGCTCGTGCGATCCTCGAACGAACGCGAGACGTCAGTTCGCAGGCTCGAACGAATCCCTGGAAAGTTCAGCTGCCAAGTCAAACTACAACGTCGCAAACAAAGCTGGCAACAGGTTAGCAAAGCAAAGCTACACGAGTACGAGCGAGGATCCTGTGGCAGTGGTCCAGAAAACGAACAACGATGTTCGATCGATGAAGAAATCAAACACGCGACTCGTAAACTCTGATACCGCCGAAACAATCGGCGGTGTTTCCGGCTCGGCTAACAGGAAGGACACGGTGCACAAATCGATGGATCGATTCCCGTCGATGGCGATGCGTACGAACAAAGAAGAGAACAATCACGGGTATCTCGTATCGGGGAAAAAGGAAGCCTCGAATTCCCGTGTCACGGATTCCAGCGAAAAACATTCCGGAGAACGGGCGTCGTTGGTGTCGAGGCCGGAAGTGTCCCCTGGAAGTCCGCCAAACGGAGATAAAACAGCGTCCGACATTGCGTGCGACGGGGCGATTCAACCGGGAAATGTGTCCCTGAAAAAAGCGGGTGAACTCGCGAAACAGCAACGAAATTACGCGAAAATGGTTGACAAAGAAAACGTCAACGGTGACAGATCCGTTCCTAACGCGCGATGTTCCGTGAAAAAAGACGCGAAAAATCAACGCGGCTCCATCGAAAATCTCCATTCGGAAAATGTAGATAGAGAGAAACACCGATCGAACAAATCTACACTACAAAAATGGTCGAATTCGTCGTTGAAGGACTCGAAGACAAAATGGCGAAAGAAGATTGCAGCGAACGACGTCAAGGGTGAACCCGCGAATAAAGGTTCATCCCCGAAGAAGAGGAACAAAGCGTTTCCCGTTACTTCGACAATCGATTCGCCGGCTGCTATGCATTTAAACGAGCCTTTAAAAAATTTGTCGACAGGTGTATTGAATAGCAATGGGTCTCCTGTGAGCCAGTCTGTTCGCAAAGGTAATTTGAATGGCGTAATGGAAAGTACGTCTCGCCGGCCGGATATTAGAGTCAAGAGTTTTAACGAGAAACATGGACCGAACGACAAGAAATCGATTCGCACCCTCGAAGGCGTCGACCTGAAGCTGATTTCGGAGACGATCATCGACTGTCCGAAAAAGAATCGCGCAAAAGGGAGTATCAAGAACTACACGCCGCAGAAGAGAACCTTGAAGAACCTGTCTTATCGCAAGAACAAGCGACATCGTGACCGCAGAAACCAGAACGAAGTCGACCAAAGCGAAAGAAACTTTAGAAGATCCAATGGACCGTTTCGTGCTGGAAGAAACCGACGCGGGCCGACCTCGAGACGAAAGAGATGGAGCAAAAAGCTGGACGACAAAGGATACGCAGGGATTCAGAATTCGGCTCGCGGCGTTCAAGTGTACATAGACAATTCTAGACCCCTGAGTCGCACGAGCGAGCAATCAAGGTCGAGTAAATTGACACAGAAGGAAGCGAAGGACAGTTTGGACAAACGCATCGACGAGAAGTTCAGTCGCATAAACGACGTGCTGAAGGAGGACCTCATGGGCAAGAGTATGGACGACAAGTCCAAGTGTACAGATGGGTCTTGCGAAAATAAAGATGCAGCTTCTGAAAGTAAAGGTGTACTTTCTGAAAATAAAGATGTATCATCTGAAAGTAAAGATGTACCTTCTGAAAATAAAGATGCAGAACAGAAAGAGGAAGGTCAAGAAGAGACGCAGTCTGATTTCCAAAACGTCGAAGATGACGAATCTAAGGGTTCCAATACAAACCTTGAAGCGGAGAATTCGAGCAAGGACGAAGAACATGTAGTTAAGTCACCCGATGAATTTGAGAAGTCTAAGAGTTCGACACGCAACGCGGAGCTAGTAATTTCGCCTACCAGCGATGGCTATAAAGCGACTTCCGATTTATCCCTGGCAGAGGAAGAGTTGTTCAAGGAAGCGGCAACAGAGATGACGCGAGCGTTGATAGTAGTCGATCTCTTCAAGGTTGTAACCAGTCCGCTGAACCAGCAGCTGCAAACCACAACCCTGAAGCCATCGAATCGATCGCTGATGGCGAGTCTTGCGAAGAGCATACAGAAAGCCTTTGGACTTCAGCGGGAGTCGGAGACAACTCGTCAAACGTTCGTGATCACGTTGAACGAGTCGACCGTGACTGAAAACAGTACCGAAGCGACGACAACCGGCGGCACCACGAGAATCACGGATCAAGCTCTTCGACCTTCGATCAAGCCCTTCAAAGCGAAGCAAACTTCTGGCGAGTTCCATAACGAGGTCGTCATCGACGAGTTGACTTTCCCTGAAGAAACCAAGGAGTCAACTTCCGCAACGCGGGGAGACTCGGTGACCCAGGTACAAGATGGAAGGAAAAAGAAACGTATGACACCGTCGATTAAGGATTCGTTGGGGCTTCGATCGACCGGGTTCGACAGAAGCGTTCGCGACGATAATCTGGGAGGAAAGATGAAATACTCCTTCGAGGTTGGAAACGTTAATCTGATGAAGGAGAAGCTGGGCTCCAGCAGCTTCGTTCGTGAACAGCGGAATTATCTGCAGCTGATGGTTAACGGCCAGGAAGCTGAAAAGAGTTACAGAAAAGGACGCAGGCTCAATAAGGATCGCTCCCCAGGCAGAAGAGAAGCGTCATTGAATTTAACAGGAATTAAGTGCATTCATCATCCGTGGTCCACTACACAGTCTTCGGAGTTCACTCTTAAGACCAAGGATCACATCTTGCCCAAGGGTCTGTCAAGAAAAAGGGTGCAGAAGGAGTCCAACACCTCTCCGGGTAGAATACTGCCACCTTGTTCCAAAAAGTATCGAAAGAGGCGTTTGTTGTCTGTGCAGACCTTGAAGAGCTGCAAAAACGAACAGGGTAAGGGCCAAAAGAAGTGCGTCGATGACAGCGAGTACGAGGATGATCGTCCAAAGAAGTCGCAGCTGAAGTCGAAGAAGAGGAACGCGGGACGACCGTCGAAGCGGAAAAAAAACAGCAAAAATCGCAGCAAGAAGCAGCTGAAGCCTCTGGAGGATCCGATGGAGGACTACGATTATCGCATGCCCAAGGACCGAAAGTACGAGATCCTCGACGAGAGACAGGCCGACGACGATCCTGAAGAAACCCTCGAAAACGACGAAACAATTCCTTCGGAGTCTGAAAAAATGTCGGACTCCAGCGAGCTACCGAACCCCTTCCAGCTACCGGACACCGATGTCAACTTCGACAAATTGCCGGACAAGATGGAGGACTCGAAGGTGGAGGATCTGGCGCAGGTCGAGAAGAACGAATTGGGGAAAGATTTCGAGATATCACTGACGGGGAAAATTCACTTGGAAAGCGATTCGAACGGGCGACCGGTGTCCATCAGTTTCAACGCCGCGCCGGAATATCTGCCAAAGGGTTCCGCGAGGATAAACGAGTACGTCGATCGATTCCCATCAGAGTCAGCCTCCAGTTCTTTCGCCGACGCGTCCGACACGGACAATGCTAATTTTTTGTCGAACTCTTTGGCCCAACCGATGGTCCCCGAAGCGGCCGATCGATTCGAATACTCCGACGAGATTCGTGAGAGAAATAGAAATCCAGGCAGATACGTGGGTCGCCAGAAATTGCTTCGTTTGCAGAAGAAATCCGTGGACGCGATTAAAGACGCCGATCAGGAGATAAGACTGAAAAGGTTGTCTCAGGATGACGACAGTGGCTTCGAGGGAAATAGGGGGAGTAATTTGAAACGAGACGTCAATGTTGTTTCGAAGGAGAAGGAAGTGAAGAATGTGCAGGAGCCTTTGACTTCTGAGGAACTGAATGTGGTGCCAGGTAAAAACTTTGCGATTAAAAATATAATGTTATAGATTCTGTAACTTGGGATAGAACTACTTAGTAACACATTGACTGCCATATTGAAACAATTGAAAATTGCATCCAGTAATGTTTTAATTTTTAATCAATTTGACCACCTATTTTCACAATATCTTGTTACATTTATTTCCCATATATCCATGTAATTAATGCAGGAATTTTTTATTAGGAAAATTTTTAATAATACACATGTTACACCAGTTTAGAAACTCAAGTGTCACCCATATACGTGACGTGGCAACGTGTTATTAGACTATTAATAACAGCAAAATTTGCAGACTCGCCCCAAGTTTCCCTGGACCTGTCCAACGAGCCAGAGGCCTCCTTCCTGAACAACGAGCCCGAGGACGTGAGTACGGACGTCGTAGAGAACTTTTCAGGTGCCTGCTACGCGAACAGCACTACGGCGATAATCGACGTGACCGAAGAAACCACGATGACGGAGAAGCTGCCTGCCCTGACCAACCAGACGGTCCTGAGCTATCAAGACATAAATATACCGAAAGACACGGGTCCCTCCGTGGGCAGCGCACAGTTCCTCAACGTTACAGCGGCCGATAGCTACGAGGATGTGACGGAGGAGGCTTTGCCGACCGAGAAAGAGGGTTACGGGCAGGCGAAGGGATACAACGCGACGCAGGAGGACAAAGAGTCGGCGGAGAAGAAGAACATGTTGGCGGTGGAGGAATTCGTGAAGAAGTTGGAGAAACTAGCTTCGGATGGGAACTCGAGCAATCAGACGGGCAACACTTTGATCCACTTGAAGAAGTATATAATCGTGCCGAGCAACCAGACGTTTTGGGGTTTGGGGAAATTGTCGGAGGCCGAGGAATCGCAGCCATCGGTGGATACGAAGGTCATAATGGGGGACGGAAGGAAAGAGGTGGAAGAAAGCGAGGATGAGAAGTCGGAGTTGAAGGACCCTGATTTGATTAGAGAGATTATTAGCTCGGTGATCAGTGGCGAGAATCGCGACGCGTCCGGTAAATCTGTCGAATCGAAGGAACAGTCAGATCAGATACCCAACGATGAAATACAAGATGTGATCGACGAGAAACTGGAGACAGGGAAGTCGGAGAGTTTAGCAAAATTGCGAGAAGAGAGTAAAACCGACGATCAATTCCTGGAAAGGAACTCTGAAAATGTTAAGAAACCTTCGAAAAACGGTAATTACGTTTGCAGAGAAGGTAAATCTAATTTGAAAGAGAAAAGAGAGGCGGGTAACCTGATAAGGCGGGAACGAAAACAGGAAGCTCGTAATAAGAAGAAGGACGCGAGGCACGAGAAGAAGAAACATCGGAGAAAGCGGAAAAGAAAGCCCAAGAAGAAGAAGAAGAACACGAGCAAGAAGGGTAGCAAGAAGAGCAAGTGGCCATTTAAGAGGAACTTACTCATGCTATCGGATGAGGAGCAGGTTCAAACACCGGACTGCGGGAAAAAGTGGAGGATCATTGATAAATTTTCATTGTGCGAAAAGAGCAAGAGTAAAATGGAACGAATGAAGGCACCTGATGGCGGAAATAAGTTTAGAGAGCCGCAGATTCGAGGAGGTCAGGATTGCTCCGATCGCAGGCATCCTTCAAAATATCTGGAGTCGGCGCATTGTCTGCGGTTCAGCAATTTATGGTTCGTTTTGTTTCAATTCGTAATTTCATTTTTTTTTAAACAAAAGTTGGACAGTGGTACATTTATTTGTGGGACATTTATTTGTGGGACGTTTATGTGGGACAATTATTTGTGGGATATTTATGTGTGGGACATTTATGTGGGACATTTATGTGGGACATTTATGTGGGACAATTATTTGTAGGACATTTATGTGGGACATTTATTTGTGGGGCATTTATGTGAGACATTTATTTGTGGGACATTTATGTGGGATATTTATATGTGGGACATTTATGTGGGACATTTCTGTGGGATAATTATTTGTGGGAAACGTTTATGTGGGACATTTATGTGGGACATTTATTTGTGGGACATTTATGTGGGACATTTATGTGGGACAATTATTTGTGGGACATTTATGTGGGACATTTCTGTGGGGCAATTATTTGTGGGACATTTATAAGTGGGACATTTATGTGGGACATTTATGTGGGACAATTATTTGTAGGACATTTATGTGGGATATTTATATGTGGGACATTTATGTGAGACATTTATGTGGGGAAATTATTTGTGGGACATTTATGTGGGACATTTATGTGGGACATTTATGTGGGACATTTATGTGGGACATTTATGTGGGACATTTATGTGGGACATTTATGTGGGACATTTATGTGGGACATTTATGTGGGACATTTATGTGGGACATTTATGTGGGACATTTATGTGGGACATTTATGTGGGACATTTATGTGGGACATTTGTGGGTCATTTATTTGTGGGACATTTATGTGGGACATTTATTTGTGGGACATTTATGTGGGACATTTATGTGGGACATTTATGTGGGACAATTATTTGTGGGACATTTATGTGAGACATTTATGTGGGGCAATTATTTGTGAGACATTTATGTGGGACATTTATATGTGGGACATTTATGTGGGACAATTATTTGTGGGACGTTTATGTGGGACATTTATGTGGGACATTTATGTGGGTCATTTATTTGTGGGACATTTATGTGGGACATTTATGTGGGTCATTTATTTATTTCAAGAAAGCAAAGTTTCTTAAAACCTCGTGTACCAAAAAAGAATAGAACATCAAGTTTTGCAGGTACTCGGTCTACCAGCTAGAAGAGCCAGTGGTCTCCCACAAGATTCACCTGCAGATCTACGTGAAGCGTGCATCGGTTGACGAATCGATATTCTGGCAAGACCTGACAAACGGTTCGAGTATAAGGTAATGGAATCGGCAAGCAACGACTAAGCGTATTCGAGATCTTGGAGTCACTAAATTCGCGCTACACAGGACGTTTATCTCATCAGATTGGGCACCTTCGATAAGCGCTATCGGGATAAAGCGAACACCATGGATTTCACGTATAACGATATCCAATTAGCACCGAACACCGGCCACAGTTTAGATCCCTCGAAAGATCGTTTACTGGTGCCGTCCACGCTTTCGGACAGAAAGTACCCGGACGAAGGTTTCGAAATTCATGGTTAATTTTTGAAGCGTTCATTGAAACATAAATGAGAGGGTTTTAATTGTATCAGGATGGTCAGGCGAGTATCTGGTTGTGCAAGCGGACAAGATCAACGAGGATGCAAACGAGTGCGACAAAGCCGGTGTGGGTTTCACCGCATTCGTTAATCAACCGGATCGTTGCGAACGTGTACGTGGAACCTGTTTGAAGAATCAACCGATGGATTACTGGAGACACGACGTCGTACGTACCCACAACATTGCCAATTATTGCTTCAACGACGGTAACACGTTGGCACGGTAGAAACCAACGATCGAACGATCACTGACGATTAATTTATTTTATCGTTTACTTTGAATTTGCTTAATTTCATGGGTACTCAGATTTTAATGTTCTTTTTCTCATAGCAACTTATTTGGTCAGAAAGACGCTCCATTTTATTTCATGCAAATCGAGACACTTTTCACCCACATTCCTGATCCCAGATTTTACAGTATGTAATGTTTAACTTGACTGAGTAATCAGCTAAATAAACTTGATTTTGTTAGGGTAATGGTAGCAACGTTTGGTCGAGTTCGGGTATTTATACCGGTACCTGTACTGAAATATTCACCGAGCAATTTGCATTTCAAAACACACAATAAGTAACTGTTTAGACGTACACCATATCATTTGTCATGGTAACATAATTTATTAGCAACGAATTTAATATATTCGTTCGTAAAATACTGTACAAGCTGCGAGATGGTACGTGCGGCAAATGCGCCGCGGCTACTGCATACCAAGTGCTCGCGTAATTTCATTTAAATAAACATAATTGAAATTGTTGCACGTGGAACGTCACATGCAACGTTTCAACAAACATTAATACGTTGTATAAATGAAACATTACCTAGAAAATTAATCATTGACCGCGTACGCATCAGCCCTCTGCAAATTTGACGAATATTATACCGAAAACGATTAATGAAAAATAAGGTCGCAATGTTTGTAGAAACAATGTGCTACTTTAATGAAACGTTTTATTCATGATTCTGGTACTTTGAATTTGGACACTGGAAATTTTTTAGAACATTATTTACATAGATATTATTGAAAAGTAGATGTATAAGTGTATATGTATATATAAATATTCGTTTAGAGGCATTAGACAGTGAATAGCAGTGTTGCATATGGCGATATAGCAGGAGGAAATGCAACTCGTGATGTAATACATAGGCACGGTATATTAATTCGATTTTTGAGTCAATTGTTACATTAAACCTATAAAACATTGCCTAATAATATACTACACAATAAATAAATTGCAAAAATCTAAGTATATGGCATAAAATGTAGAAGAATAAAATACAGTGAATGCAATTGAAGGTTTAAACTTCAAGTTTGCTCGAAAGGTTAAATGTAGGAAAGAAGGATATAAATATATGTTTAGAGGCATTATATAATGAATAGCAGTGTTGCATATGGCGATATAGCAAATGGAAATGCATCTCATAATATAACACATAGTTACAGTACCTTAATTCGATACTTGAATCAATCATAACCTTAAACCTATAAAACATTGCCTAATATACTACACAATAAATAAATTGCAAAAATCTAAGTATATGGCATAAAATGTAGAAGAATAAAATGAAGTGTATGCAATTAAAGGTTTAAACTTCAACTTTGGTCGAAAGGTTAAATATAGAAAAGAAGGGTCTAAATATACGTATAGATGCATTATACAATGAATAGCAATGTTGCATATGGCGATATAACAAGAGAAAATGCAACTCGTGATATAATACATAGTCACAGTACATTAATTCGATACTTGAGTCAATCGTTACACTGAACATACAAAATATTGCCTAACAATACACTACACAATAAATAAATTGCAAAAATCTAAATATATGGCATAAAATGTAGAAGAATAAAATGAAGTGTATGCAATTAAAGGTTTAAACTTCAAGTTTGGTCGAAAAGCTAAATGTAGAAAAGAAGGATATAAATATACGTTTAGATGCATTATACAACGAATAGCATTGTTGCATATGGCGATATAGCAAATGGAAATGCATCTCATAATATAACACATAGTCACAGTACCTTAATTCAATATTTGAATCAATCATAACAAACCTATAAAACATTAGTTTTATAGCCTATTTATAACCTAATACACTACACAATAAATAAATTGCAAGAATCTAAGTATATAGCATAAAATATGAAAGAATAAAATGAAGTGTAATTGAAGGTTTAAACTTGAAGTTTGGTCGAAAGGTTAAAAGAAGGTTAAATATATCGTGACTTTTCCAAATATTTCCGCAAAGTGGCAGGTGTTATCGAAAGGTACAACACGTTCGATGTAATGTCACGTGTCGGCAGGAAGCACGAGATTCCGGACGGTCTGGTTGCTACTTCTTGAGCAATTTCGCCTGGGTGCCGAGCGAGGCCATCAAGTACAACGTGAACGGAACCGGAAGCCGCGAGTTCCTCGCTCTCGAGTACCATTCGCCGCACGTGTCCGTGATCGACGTTGAACTCGGCGCCGACTACAATGCTCTCCTTCGAGCAGGGTGAGTTCCAGAGGTGATGATCGTTTCTGGGATGTGTTCCCATCGAAATTCCGAATCATTTTCAACGGTCTATTCTTTCTTTACAATACCCTCGCACTTTCCCTCGATACGTGCTACCTTAAATTACGTTATGAACTGGTTCGGTAATACACTCTTTAAAGTGGCTTTAAAGTTCCTTCAAAGTGAGCTACTCGATACAAACTTATTCAATGTTCGTACAAATAACCTGAATAATTCTACACGAGTTGAAATTAATTTGAAGACTTCAACCCCTTACTATCTCAACAGACCACAATTTTATCTTTCGGTGAATTTGTAAAAAGGGTTAAATTGCAACGTGAACTGTTAATTCCCCTCTTGCAAAGACAATTTTCATTACATTCCAGGTCATACGGTCGACTAACCGAGGTGTACATAGATAATACAGCAATTGATTACACAGTGATAACGGTGCTGATTACCAACAAAGGCTCATCTTCATCCTCTTATCGAGTCCGGATTACAGATTGTCCCCAAGGACTTCCGGTATCGTGGTTGAACGCCGAGACTCCCACCAAGACAATCTCGTCCCATCGTGACCGTAAAGTAGCTCTAGATCTCTACGGCAGACTCTCATTAAACGAATTCTCTTGTTCCGGTAAATATCGTCCTCTACCCGATCAAATTTTCCTCCGGTTTATTACATTCTCCTCCGATTAAAAGACAAATCTTCCACAAAGAGATAACCTTCTCTATCTTCTTTATTACTTTCGCTACTCTTCAGTGGAGCTGTTGAACAGCGACGGGGAAGCGGTGGCAAACAGGAGGCTGAAAGCGCGAAGAAATAATCGTTGCTTTTGTATACGACACTGCGAGTGTACGTGCGGACGAGATAGAACTTGTCGACCCGTGTCCTTGAAAAATTATCACGCCGCAGGATTTCGGGGTCCACTGCCGACCGTTCCTGATGAATCTTTCAACTGGTTCCATCCTGTCACCGTCGTTTGTTTGGTTTTTATAGGTCTACTGCTGTTGTTACTCGCTTTAGGTATGCTTTCGAGAATAGTAATAAATCTTGTAATGTTAAAATAATAAAAAAATAATAAACCTTGTAATGTATCTGAAAATGTATGATACAATTACTTGTACTCGAATGATCAGATTAATTGAGTAGTCAAGAAAATAAAAGACGTAGTACTAGCTTGATGATTATATTTAACCTTTGCTGTACAATTTATTTATCAGATGCATCAGTCAAAACTAACTATATATATAATGTTGAAACAAGCAATAAAAATTAAAATATTGAATACTTTGTATTCAATGATCTTTGATAATGCAAATTATAGTTGGACTAGGACTATAATTTTAAGTTGAGCTCTTCAAGTTGAAGTATTAAAAATTTTAGTAAGAGTGTCTGAGCTGTGAGTGCGTCACGAGAGAGATTTGTCAAAGAACAAGGGGTTAATTGTAACTTGATTTTCTGAAAGAAAATGCAGCTTTCAAAAAGTGATAAAGTAAACGTTGCAGGTATTTTAAAATGGGCGATCGGAATGTGCGTGCCGGCTGTAAGTCGTTGGGGTTTGGACGCGCTGCTCGAATCGGACAAAATGGAGGAATATTACGAGAAGGACCTAAAATCGCGGAGCGTGGTGTTCAACGAATTCGGGCAACCCGTGCATCCGGACACGAGGCGAAAATCCGTTAGAATTTGCAAGAGGTGAGATCTCGAAACTGGTACGAAAAAGAGAATTAAATAATAATTTGTTTAGGAAGGTAGAATTTTTCCTGAATCTGATATTCTTCTTCATCCACCCCCTGGTGTGTTGTTGTTACTGCACGAAACCTCGCCCAAGCAAAAGTATTCCAGTTGAATCCAAGGTAAACGACATACATATTTGATTAATCCTCGAACGTTGGGTCGGTGACTTAAAAAGTGTCTCGGTTAAAAATTTCAGCGTTACACGTAGGTCGAGGTCACGATTAACCCGGCTTTAGCGTTCGAGGGTTAAACAGTATCCTTCGTAATCCTAAGACCTTTTGCACACACTAAGTCCTGCATGTAGACGAGTCTGATGTCTGAAAAAGACGAGACCCCTACAATGATATGCCTCAGCACGTACGGAGACAGCATAAATTCCAAGATGGAGGCGGAGGATACGAAGTACGTAATAGACGAGCTGAAAAAGTCGCAGGAGTCCTTGCAGAATCACGGCAGATACAAAGTAGGCCTTCGATCGTACTTTCTAGGACCTTCTCGAATCTCTGTAATGGATCTCTTTTTTAATACCTGACATCTGATGTGACTCTTAAAATTAATACTTAATATAGAGACTTATTGCTTGAACGTAATACAGAGACTTATTGCTAAAACGTAATATAAAGACTTTATACTAAAACGTAATAGAAAGACTTACTGCTTAAACATAATATAAAAACTTACTGCTTAAACAAAATGTAAAGACTTATTGCTAAAACATAATATAAAGACTTACTGCTTAAACTTAATATAAAGAGTTATTGCTTAAACATAATATAAAGACTTATTGCTTAAACGTAATATAAAGACTTACTGCTTAAACAAAATGTAAAGACTTATTGCTAAAACATAATATACAGACTTACTGCTTAAACATAATATAAAGATTTACTGCTTAAACTTAATATAAAGAGTTATTGCTTAAACATAATATAAAGACTTACTGCTTAGACATAATGTAAAGACTTATTGCTTAAACGTAATATAAAGACTTACTGCTTAAACGTAATATAAAGACTTACTGCTTAAACATAATATAAAGACTTACTGCTTAAACATAATATACAGACTTATTGCTAAAACGTAATATAAAGACTTATTGCTAAAACGTAATATAAAGACTTACTGCTTAAACATAATATAAAGACTTACTGTTAAAACGTAATATAAAGACTTACTACTTAAACATAATATAAAGACTTACTGTGAAAACATAATATACAGACTTATTGCTTAAACGTAATATAGAGACTCAAGGTTAAGTGCTTCAGGAGTATACTTGCACATATGTGAATGATTAGTTTGAGTTCAAGTTTATTAATCAAAGATCAAGACTATTGTTTTTGTACGTTCTTTTGAGATTTATTTAATGTTACAGTTTTAAAACGAGAAGTACAGTTACATCAATAATGTCCTATTATAGGGAATATAATTTCCTAACCTCAAAAGAGTGGTCATATGAGGTTAATATACAAAATGTTTAATGGATGTTACATTTACATTTTGTGAATCTAACACCATATATTTAAGCTTTAATACAGCTATCCGCATACAAGCTATGCCTCAAGAGCGTCGAAAAAAGCGACTCCATATTGTGCAAGTGTTTATTCGCTCGACCCGGATAGCTGATCTTTATGCGACGTATTTTTAGCCGTAACGAAAAAAAGCTAGAAAATCTTGGGTAAAAATGGTGGAAAAGGAAAATGAATAGGAAATAAAATTTGAGCGGTGCGTTAAAGGGATTGTACGTTTCACAGAGAATGTCGCTGAGCCCAGAAACAATTCCAAGTTCGTCCGACTGATAAGAAAAAGGACATCGCAGACCAGGACGAGATCCATTTTCAATCCAGACACGTCGAAAATCCGGTTCCAGGGAAATATGCGATTTAGCTCGACAGGAATTATACGCAATGCGGTTGTAGCGTGGGACACGGACAGAGAATTTGTGGACGCTGTCGGCTGATATCCATGGGGTGTGGGGGCGCGCACCCCTCGCTTTAACCTATTTTTTCCGCCCGAGCGCTATTTGTACGCGACGCTGGAATGTAAATATTCATATAGAATGCACGTATTTTTTTCGTGGATTGCGCTTAGTCACGGGGAATAAAAATAAACGCTCGTCACGCCGGGGAATTTCAGCCATGGGGTATTCTCGCCTGTTCCGCGACCAGGGTTAAACCGTGCACGCTAATCGAGGGAAGAGGATTGATTTTTTTTCCACCTCCCTATCGTGCCGATATTCTGCTACCCTCACCATAATTTATCTCGCAACAATAAATCGACTCGGACGTTAATTCGAGCCAATTATACTCTATCACCTCTGTACTCCAATTTATGAGCTTTGCTTCTCCAATCATTTTACTCGTTTTTTATAAAAATGGCGACAGGATAGACTTAATTTCCGTAAGAACTGATACGTAGAATGTTCTCAAGAATCGATCTGTGTGAATAAAGGTATATGAACAAAAAATTGTCTTTATGTTTCATTAAATAGCTTTTTAAGAACAAGGTTTTCTGCATATTGTCAGGATTATATTTCTTCGGTAAAATTTTCTGTAACGCGTGATGAAGGTTTAATATCTCGTGCCACGACGTTTATCCTGCAAACATCCTATAAAATGAAATTGTCGAATTCCATGAAGTTGCGCGTTAGCCGATACGCTCTGACGTAATATTCCGGTTCACTGTTGAAACTCGCGGCGACGTTTCATCGAGAGTGAAACACCCTCACTATTTTAGCAGCGTATCGTTTTAAAATAAAATTGCTTCCGTAAAGGTTTTATCACCTAAACTTTCCTCGCAGTTCGTGCGTTTTAACGATACCAACGGGGACAGAGTTGCGAACGAAATTTACATTGCAAATATTATTTCCACGCAAATACGCCCCCGTTTATTGTCAACCGAGTTGCTTTATAGACTGCGTAGCTGAGTTTAGCAACTTTTTCGTTGCGCGATCGTACAAGGGAATTGCAATTTGTAATCGCGTTTCTGGGGTATTAAGTTGATGGCAATGAGGTCTTGGTTGTCTGCAAGTTTTGCATGATGGGTAGACTGCAAAATGGCGGCATTACAGATGGTGAGGGTGGTGAATATTTCAGATTTGCGGATTGGAGTGCTTTGAGGTTGGAAGATTATTTCAATCTTTGGGTTGCTTGCTTTGTAGGTTTGGTGCGTTCGATGCATACATCAATTCCACAATTTCACAATTTCACAATTCCACAATTCCACAATTTCACAACTTCACAATTTCACAATTTCACAATCTCACAACTTCACAATTTCACAATTGCACAATTCCACAATTGCACAATTTCACAATTGCACAATTGCACAATTCCACAATTTCACAATTTCACAATTCCACAATTTCACAATTTCACAATCTCACAATCTCACAATTTCACAATTGCACAATTCCACAATTCCACAATTCCGTAATTCCACAATTCCACAATTCCATAATTCCACGTTTCCCAATTCCACAATTCTACAATTCCACAATTCCTCAATTCCACATTTCCCAATTCCACAATTCCCCAACTCCCACGTTGTCCAATTCCCACATTCCCCAATTCCCACCTTCCCCAATTCCCGCCTTTCCCAATTCCCACAATTCCCCAATTCCCACATTGCCCAATTCCCAAATCCCCAATTCCCACATTCCCCAATTTCACGTTCCCCAATTCCCACATTGCCCAATTCCCAAATCCCCAATTCCCACATTCCCCAATTTCACGTTCCCCAATTCCCACATTGCCCAATTCCCAAATCCCCAATTCCCACATTCCCCAATTTCACGTTCCCCAATTCCCACATTGCCCAATTCCCAAATCCCCAATTCCCACATTCCCCAATTTCACGTTCCCCAATTCCCACATTGCCCAATTCCCAAATCCCCAATTCCCACATTCCCCAATTTCACGTTCCCCAATTCCCACATTGCCCAATTCCCAAATCCCCAATTCCCACATTCCCCAATTTCACGTTCCCCAATTCCCACATTGCCCAATTCCCAAATCCCCAATTCCCACATTCCCCAATTTCACGTTCCCCAATTCCCACATTGCCCAATTCCCAAATCCCCAATTCCCACATTCCCCAATTTCACGTTCCCCAATTCCCACATTGCCCAATTCCCAAATCCCCAATTCCCACATTCCCCAATTTCACGTTCCCCAATTCCCACATTGCCCAATTCCCAAATCCCCAATTCCCACATTCCCCAATTTCACGTTCCCCAATTCCCACATTGCCCAATTCCCAAATCCCCAATTCCCACATTCCCCAATTTCACGTTCCCCAATTCCCACATTGCCCAATTCCCAAATCCCCAATTCCCACATTCCCCAATTTCACGTTCCCCAATTCCCACATTGCCCAATTCCCAAATCCCCAATTCCCACATTCCCCAATTTCACGTTCCCCAATTCCCACATTGCCCAATTCCCAAATCCCCAATTCCCACATTCCCCAATTTCACGTTCCCCAATTCCCACATTGCCCAATTCCCAAATCCCCAATTCCCACATTCCCCAATTTCACGTTCCCCAATTCCCACATTGCCCAATTCCCAAATCCCCAATTCCCACATTCCCCAATTTCACGTTCCCCAATTCCCACATTGCCCAATTCCCAAATCCCCAATTCCCACATTCCCCAATTTCACGTTCCCCAATTCCCACATTGCCCAATTCCCAAATCCCCAATTCCCACATTCCCCAATTTCACGTTCCCCAATTCCCACATTCCCCAATTCCCAAATCCCCAATTCCCACATTCCCCAATTTCACGTTCCCCAATTCCCACATTGCCCAATTCCCAAATCCCCAATTCCCACATTCCCCAATTCCACGTTCCCCAATTCCCACATTGCCCAATTCCACATTCCCCAATTCCCACATTCCCCTATTCCCAAATCCCCAATTCCACATTTCCCAATTCCCACATTCCCCAATTCTCACATTCCCCAATTTCCAAATCCCCAATTCCCAAATCTCCAATTCCACACTTCCCAATTCCCAAATCCCTAAATCCCCAAATTCCTAAACTCTCAAACCCCAAATCCCTGAATCCCCAAACTCTCAAGCTCCAAATCCCCAAATTCCCAAACTCTCAAACCCCAAATCCCTAAATTCCCAAACTCCCAACCTCCAAATCCCCAATTCCCAAACTCCCAACCACCAAATCCCCAATTCCCAACACCCCAACCCCCCAAATTAATTTCCCAAGTCGATACCTAACCACACAAGCTCAAGACAAGTTAAGAAAGGGTCAACAGAGAGCGGCCTGCGTGCACCTGTGCGCAGCGTGAATGCCCGGTTGGCAGAGAAAGGCGGTTCTTTGTCCATTGTAATTCGGTAGCCTCCGGCAGATCCAGATTGACCGCACTCGACTGACCGCGGAGAAGTTGCAATCCACGAGTGCGCGAAACGGAACAATGCTCGTCCCGTTGGCTCGCGAACATGTTCCCTTCTTTTCCACGGATATTTTCCGCTTACGGTACGTTCGAAATGTCACGGCACGGATAAGGGATCT